GCAGAGTGCAGATAAGATGTGAAATAGTGAAAATTAGCCTCTATTTGGCCGAGAACAGCAATTATTTCAAATGACAATAATTTCAAGCGTGAATTGCCCCATTTAAATATCAAATGGGTGACGTTAACAAATAAAGAAGCTTTGTTTTGTTTTAAAGCAGCGGCAAGCAGCTGGAGCACAAAATAAATGTAGGGGGAAACACGAGACGTAATCGAGTGCTTTCTCTACTTTTTGGCTCTTGGCATGTTTACAAACCTCTCATTTGCCTTTCCTGATACTACTTGCCGGGTGGGCGCAGGCGGTGTGCGCACTCTGATTTGCGTTGCATCATGGTTGTCAAACGAAAAGTGAGTCATTTGCATCCTGTCGCGGTCGAGTGAACATCTCTGGTAGCAGCAAGATAGCGTGAATAAACATGGAATGTAATGAGGATTCACTGTCTGTTGCCGTTCCTTCGAAAGTTAAAAAGTGTTTGCAGGCCTCCGCGACTCCTGTTATTTTTCCGTGACAAATTCATTGTTAGGAGGCTACTGAAGAGATTCAGAAAGAATTGAAACTGCAGCCGTGCCCAAGAATCTATTCATTTGGCAGAAGTCACACTCACAGCTGATGGCTATGTGAATAAAATCTAATTCGCGAGTTATTTAACAGGGAATCGACCCTTGACATGCAAACGTATTACAAAGGGACAGCGACCTTCTAATACACGAACTATTTTTTTATGTCATGCACTTAGAGGCGTAAATATGGGATTCGCGAAAGGAGAAGCCCGAATTCGTCAAGCTTAACGTTTATTAAAAGAACGTACAGATTTTCAAATATGCTTAAAAGAATAGGGAATATTCAGAACAGGGTTTTGAAAACCGCATCTCTGGAGTTATCTTCTGGGGGAGAAACAGTATGTACTTGAAAACAGAGAAAATAGCGCGCACACATGAAAATATTATCTTTTGTTGCACAATCCCATCCGGCTTTGCCTCAAGAACATACAGACAGGAAAACTGACATACAGACAGGAAACTAACTCTTATTATCACATCGCAAAGGAAAGTCATTAGAAGATATCTTCATAACAGCTAGGTTTTCGGGTCAAAAGATTTAAAAGCGCAAGGGAATGACAGGAGTCGCACAAGCCTATCAACACCTTTTAACGATCGACTGCCTTTTGTTTTCCGGTATTCTAGCGGATTTGGACCCGTCTAGATTTGGACCCCCGGTTCAAATCCGCGGCTTTGGACCCCCCCAACAGAACTGAGTGAAAACATCATCCTTAACGTTCTCGTAGAATTAGATAATACTTTACGTTTCAGTGCGTACTAAAGTACGTTTTTAATTCAAAATATGCGTATCGCCAATGCACACGAACTGGCAGCTGAAAAAAATGATCTGTCCGATGTTTCTTTTGACCAAGGAATAATGCGCAAGCATTTAGTTCAATGTTCGGAGAAAGGTCGTTTTTAAACCTTTTCCGCGATAGTCGAACACCGCTAGATTCAGTAAGAGACAAACTAATGACACTAATTTATTTTGTTATTGTTCAATGCCCAAGTGTTGCGACGACATTGTAAAGTGCGAGTTTGTTATGTCAGATCCCTCAACAAGTAATACTCGTTAAAATTGAAAAATAAGACTGAGTTCGATGTAATCGTCTCCACTTTTGTTAAGACATAAACATTAATGTTGATTTGCATCTGAAAATAAGCTGAGAGTTCCAATAGTTTTCTTATCATAGGCTTTACGAACGACTTGTAGTAGGGGTAGGTACTTCGAATTCGTTCTGGTTCAGAAACTGTTTAATGTTATTTAATTAGATAATCAGACTGAGTTGATTTTGAGACTGGAGGCAATAGTCTCCACTATTGTTATGACGTTTCGTATCAATGTTGATTCGCATCAAAGGGAGCAAAGATTTATTGTTACAATTTCAATGGTTCGAATGCAGTAGTTTGTTCGCATTTAATTCTTGCGTATACTGTACGACTCGCTATAATAAATGTGGCAGGATTGGAACGAAAAAGCTGTTTTTCTTTACCTTTATTGAGGAATGCTGTGTTGTGATTGAAAAGAACATCGACAAAAAGTTTGAAAATAGAATTAGTTACTAAATATGATACAAACGATGCTTAAGAGGAAAGTTTGGTAGGGGGGTCCAAATCTGTAAAGGGGGGTCCATATTCATATACATAAGATAAGATAAGATAAGATAAGATAAGATAACTTTATTTATACACGGTATTTCCATCAGTTGTTAATTATCTAAAGGTATATCTATCTTCCTAACTATAATGAAATCTAATAATAACAATTCAAATAAAAGAAACAAATAAAAATCTGCTTTTCATGGAGGCCGTGTCTAAAATTTACTTAAAATTAAGATATTACTTTAAACTGTGGCGACTTAATTTAGATTTGAAATCGGTCAGTGAAGACGCTTGTCTTAGGTCTAAGGGTAAATCGTTCCACAAGTGAGCTCCGCTGTACAAAAAACTTCTCTTAAGATAATCAGTTCGAGGTTGTGGAAGAACTAATTTGTTTTCCGTATTCCTTAAACGATAAGCACTTATATTGTCACGATATACAAATCTTGATCTCAGGTAATCTGGTGTCATACCATGTAAAGTTTTATACATTAAGATAGATTTTTGTTCCAATCTTTGATAGTAGAGTCTTCGCCACCCTAGTGCCCGGAACAAATCATCTAAATTACTATCATAGCTCGCAGACATTAGGATGCGAGCTGCCCGATTTTGAAGCCTTTGCAGTTTTTCAGAAAGGCCCTTGTTACAGTTTCCCCACACTACATTACAATAATCAAAGTGTGGTTGAACAAGGCTATTATAAACTTTAATTAGAACATTAAATGGAGTGAGGTGCCGAATTCGTTTAATTGCACCATTAATTGCATTCAGAATAAATAAAATTATATCTACCAATGGTGAAAAGAAAAAGGAACGGCCTAACTTCTACGGAATATTCATTCAAAATCTGCTGATTTCTACCGTTTTCATCGCCATATTGAAAATGGAGCTACCACAATGCAACGCAATCGGAGTGCGCACGCCGCCTGGGGTCGGTGTGTATTCGTCGGTAACTTGATCCGAAATCTCACTCTCCATCTACGGGTAACAATATACATGAAAAAGTGCGTCTGATTGCCTGAATACGAGTCCATTTTTTCATGTAATACGAGTGCAATTTTGTTGTCTTTGAAATATTAACCAGTGCTTATTAACGCCAAATTGAGTAGTAATGGTTGGCGGTATAGCGTGTAACCAATCAGAATCGAGTACTTTAATCGAGTGGTACAAATGGACCAATCAGAAGGCAGGATTTTCACATTCCATTCTGATGACGTCACAAGAACCGCGCGCTATTGGTAACTAGTTTAATGGGAAAAGCAGTTTGCAAGCGTCGGCCATTTGCCACGATGACAAAATACATTTTGTATGCGCCGTTTTACATGTGGATGCGATGATATTTATTTCGTTTTGTTATTATAATTCACTGTAAAAAATGTTATTTTGTATTGGAGCCAATGTGCAAATGTCTTGTCTGATTTGAGGTTTTTTTTTTATTCATTTGATAATTTTTTTTCAATGCTTTGGTGAAATACAATCACAGTTTTTTTTCCGTTGTTTTTTTGTAAGATTTTTGTGTCTTGTTTCTTTAAGAAGAAGAGGAAGGTTTTTTTCCTGTTGATTTGTAAAAAGAAGGTTTTATGAATGAATTGGATTGTTTGTTGGTTGAGTTGTAGGAGAATTTGTTTTTTTTTTCTGATTCCAATTTTTTTGAATGGAATTAAAAAAAATTTATGGTATGAAAGAAGTTTTTTATGTGTCTTTTTTCATTTATTGTAAACATGGATGAAAAAAAATAAGTAGACAAAATAAAAGAGTTTGAAAAAAAGGAATGGTTATTTACAAAAGGTTATGATATTCCTAATACATTTTTTCTTATTTTTTCGGCGGAGCTGACAGCTCTTCCAAAAATGGGTCCGGTTTTTTTGGAATAGTCTATATCATGTTGTTTGGCGATTCTGTCCAAGCGATTAATACCAGGATCACCACGTGCGAGTCGTTTTTTGAGAAATGTTCCAGGACCCAGATATTGATATCTTTTACGTTTTGAGAGTGAAAAGGGATGAAATTCAATTCCTAATTTTTCGATTTTTTTCTGTATGTCAACTTTCCCTCCTCTTTGTCTTCTTTTCTTTGGTTTACGTGCAGCGTGTTGCCGTTTTCTGGCCATGATTCTTCTTCTTCTTTTCTTTGGTTTACGCGCGGCGTGTTGTCGTTCTCAGGTCATGATAGGATTGTTAATGTTGAAATGAGATAGGGTGTTGTTTATATACAGTTCAGTCTTTGACGAGATTATTTTGCGGCTGATTGAATTCATCTTGTATGCGGTGGCATCTATCCCTGAGCGTGTTTGTGTAGTTATGTAATATCTTGTTGCATTGTTTGATGTTTCGGTGTTGACGATGTAAGCTCTTTTTTCCATGTTGTTCTGGTAATCCTGGTAATTCATCGGCTGCAAACACTCCTTCGAAAATAGGTGCTAGACATGGATCTTGTTTGGCGAGATAAGATAATTGTTCTGTAGTAAATGGAACGAATTCCATGACCTCTTCTTCTTCTTGTTCTTTCTTACTGGATTCTTCCTGCAATGGTTTCACTGTAAATGTCGTACTGAGTACTACCCGAAGGTTTAATCTGCATCATGTTTTCGAATTCACCGTAGACGATGACGGTGATTAACGAATTGACAGCTGTCTTTGTAATGGCGATTTTGACACGTCCTTCTTGTTTAGGGTTCAATTGTACACTGTCTGCACATCCAGAGGCGACATTATCCCACATGTATAATGTGGTATGATGATCGTCTCCTCAATGATCTGGTTTGATCATACATTTTCCTTGGTAGGCTGAATAATTGGCACTAATAAGTCTGTGATACCCTGACATGTCTAGTTGACCGTTGGCTGCATTAAGTTGCAAAGGTTAATACGGGTACTCTTCCCCTTCCACAATCTGTTTGACGCTACTTACATTGAATTTCGGGAAATTGAAAGGGTTGTAGGCGTAATTGCCTGAGAAAACATCTTGATAGACTAAGCCTACCATCACACGGTCCGGGACTCTTCCGTTGAATACGTCTGTAGCTTCAAAGTCACTGTGATTGTTTTGCAAGGTGTAGGTCCTGATTTCTGATCTGACAGTGGGATAATACACATCCAGATTCCTCTGCAGTTTAGCTGTAGCGATTTTATTGTACACGTCTGACCTGACTTTGACCATACAGGCATAGAATTTCATTTTCATATCACCGGCTTGTAACCTGACGGCGGTGTTTACTGTATCAATTCCATTCATGAAGAATTTAGGATCGTTGAGTGTAAACCTCATTTTGAGATCTACTCCCGGTATGAGTAATCTACCTGTATTGAACAAATCTACATGAGGTAAACCAAACAATTGAATAGTTTTTCCTCCCGTGGTTTTTTCTTTCATTTCCACGAGTCCGTCGGCTGCTTTTTTTTCGCTCTTTCGATAACGCTGTGTAGTCGGCATGAGGTGTACCACTGTCGATTTGATTGGCCGTCAGGTCGTGAGGCGGATAATTTAGAGCTGAGTAATACCCTTGAGGTTTGAGAATCGTTTCCTCATCTTCTGTTCCATAGCGTACGTGTCTGTTTGTTCGGTGGTCAGAGTCCCATTCACGTAGATGGAAGGTTGTTTGATGATGGTGTGAAATGCGTTTGGAGCCAACCAACCTTGCGACGCATCAGCCAGATTTCCTCCATCGGTTTTTTTTCAGAATCAAATCCATACGAAAATAACTTCGGCTAAAATCGATATATTCGCGGCTGCCTGGTAACACGAATTCTATAGGGGTAATACTTTCACTGGTTGGGTTGATTTCCACGATACGGTATCCATTGTAAGTGATGTTGGTAGGTGGTACTGTAAAAAGGTCTAAAGCACTATGTTCAACCTCTCCCGATTTGAAGTGGGCCGAGGAGGCCTCGCTGCCTCCGAACACGATGCTCATCTTTCAAGAACTGATGAAGAAACGCTCACTAAAAAGCTTTTTATACTTCTCTGCGACGTGTGGGTGATTTTTTCATGACTTTTTTTTTCTACCTATACTTATACTTTTTCTTCATTTTCATACCCATGAGTTTAAAAAGATTTTTACCTAGGAATTTTCCTATTTGATATCCTGTTCCTAGAGTTCCAAATATCGGCACCTTGGCGGCCGAAAACTTTCGTCCTCCTCTTTGGCATCTTCGTTGACGACGATGACGACGACGACCGCTACTACGACGTCCTAACATGCCACCACCTCTTTGTCTGGCTAATCTCAGCATGTAACCTTGATTTTTAAAGGGATTGGAAGCTCTGTTTAGAGGAAGTTCATCCATTCTTTTTTTTCCATGAAATGATCCAGCACTTTTATATCTTTTTTAGTCAACTCTATAAAAAATCTCTGTTATAATATTCCTATTACTTCTTCTTATTATTATTTATGAGTTTCTGGCCTAAGAATTTTCCTATTTTATACGCTGGTCCTACAGCTCCAAGGATCGGTCCCATTTTTCCCAGAATCTGTCCTATCGGTAGTCCTCTTCCTTTCTATTTCTTCTTCTTCTTCTTCTTCTTCTTCTTCTTCTTCTTCTTCTTCTTCTTCCTATTCAGGTATGCGCCTGGCATTATGGTAGAAGATCCAAGAAACGGTACTATGGACGAAGGACGTATGATTCCTCCTTTCTGTCTTTTCCTTTTTCTTCCACGTGTCATATTTTTTTTTCAGTAGGTAAAAAGATCACTCAAACGTTTTGCTGTTTTTTTTCTCCTTTTTATACCATTCATTCCACTTTCCTTCTGGACTTTCTTTTTACGTTTCACACCCGTTAATTTACCAAAAACAAAATCCTTGGCTTTTCTCTTTCCGTAATTTATTAGGGTTTTTCGAGCGATGGATTTGAGTACAGGTCCCACATCTCCTCTTAGAGCTGTACTCGCTATTTTTCCTATTCCACGCAATACTCCACCCAATCCACGTCCAGATTGAATTCCCGGTCTATAATATCGTAGTTTTCCACCTTGCATGCTGGGTTTAGGGTTTCTCTCTCTCTCTCTCTCTCTCTCTATACTGCCAAAAAATGATAAAATTAAATCACCACTCGTATTTATAGTCATGGGATATATATTTCTTTAAAAAGGAATGAACTTTAACAACAAAAGTAAATTGATTACAGAATGAGATAACTTTTCATACTTAAAACGGCTATTTACACATTTTATAGTAGGTATGACTTCTCTTAGAATAGAGTTGATCATTATCACGAGTACACGTTCTACTTGCCCGTGCGGTACCATCTTTTTTCATCTGCGTCTGGGCTGTTTCAACTGCGTTAAACTGGTCACGGCTGTAATTTTTTCAGAAAATAGGTCCTTTTTTTGGAATTCTTTATAGGCTTTCCACAATTCAGTCAAGTACCATCCGTTTTTCATGATCCGTCTTCCGAGTTTTCTGAATCGATGCCAATTTTTCATCAGACGTGTCTTTAAGTAAGCAGTATCCATACCCTCTTCTCTGTCGTAACGAGACAACGAAAAACGTTTTCTACTCTATCGGCAAACTTCTGGAATTCGTTTTTGTCTGCAGGCTTTCCGTGGTACATGCGAGGGGTATCGTCACCGTGCCAAATGACCTCTAGAAGGTGTAGAAATTCGTACATATCCACCACATTCTTCACGTTCATCACCGCGCGGTACCTGTTTATCTCTCTCGTACCACTCCAGTATTGAATCTGATCGTAATGAGGTCCGTTGTGAAACGATTTGGCTATCTGTCCTGAAGCTCTGAGCGCAGAGAGAGGATCCATTCCCAGAATCAATCCTAAGAAACGCGACTGTCTTCCTTCCACTTTAGATTTTTCCGTAGTGGTGGTAAAATTATAAACGCGATGAGGACAAATATCGCTTTTCCAACTACAAGTATCGCTTACTTCCATGTCTAATATCCAAGAGAAAAAAAATCTTCTACTCTTTTTTTTCACAGAGGCACACTTTCTTAAATGCGTTTAGGTTGACATTTCAGATGACCCACTACCGCTTCTTCTAAAATTGATGGTCAAGATCGCCTGTCCATCTTTGAAATTTACTTGCGAGCCATCGGTTTCACTGATTCCCACTTCTACGCTGTCGAAGACATTTTCACAAATAGGTAAATACTGTAAACGTAACGGTTCAAATAAATATTTCCCTTTTTCGTTATTAGTGAACGAGACTTCTCTCAATAAATCTGTTTCTGTACCACCCACGATCCGAGTCTGTGTCAAATCTGTGTACACGAACAGCGTCTCTTAGGATCCGCATAGGTGTGATAGATTTTTTTCATCCAAACCTGAAAAATACCAGTTGACATAAGAATAGAATCGCACGTAACGACCCACGACCATAGTCCATCGAATATCCACGATTTTCCACGGATCATCCGTGGATTTTCATAAATTCAAATTGGGATCTCTAAAATGTTCTATTCTGACGCTACTTGAAAAACATGGGATTTTAGTGACATTATTTTTTATTTTTTCTTCTATCAAGTGGAATTTTTTAGCCAACTCCAGTTCAATGTCTACGTGGTTATTAGCTAGCCAGGATTTCGTCAATTCTTTCAAAGATCGACTATCTCGGTCTGGAACAGGATGCAAGTAATCGGGGTCGAACACATCCTTGTATTGCACATGTTCATTGTTGATCTTCAAATCGTATCTGTTTGCATTCGACACCCATTCGAAATGAGGAAATTTCCCTTTTCCACTTTCATCTTTCCATCCTTCAAACGTCCTTCCTCGGTTATACATATACCCTGCGCCATAGTCGTAGATATCTGCCATCTCCTGGTACATTTGATTCGTGACTAAATCTATAAAACGCGACCAAATTTCATACCCGCTTCGTACGGTAGTAGGAAATACCGTACAATCTGACTTTTGCAAGTCCACCACGGCATTACACTTTGCATTATGCCAATATTGAGTAGCTCCTTTCTTGTCTAGGGCTGTTTGCCACCTATTATTTTTCCATCTTTTCACGGCTATGGGTACTCCGTCGCTGTTGGTGATCTTAGTAAGTATGTTCGCGCGAACCAATATAGGTATTCGCGCATCTATAAAATCGTCCACTCGAGGCACCATATCCGGAAAAGAAATACTAGCCAACGCTACCTCCCAATCACCTTCTGGTAAAAAAATATTTCTTGGTAGTGTGACTTTGTAATGACCGGGATTATTTTCAGAATAAATCTGTGAACTTGCATCGCTAGGTAATGTCAGGTAGAAATTCATCTTGGTAATCACATCGTGATAAAACCAAAAGTGTGTGTTGCTTGGTAAATAGGGTTTTATTTATATACACGCTTCTGAAACATAACGTGAATACAGTATTTTCGTTTTTATTTCCTACAAATTCAGCTTGAGTTCCATCGACTTCGCTGATTCCTATTTCTACAATATCAAACATGTTTTTCTAACAGGAATAAGCTGTAAATTCTGAGGTTCGTAACTGTTCTTTATGACATTTCCATTCATAGACCCGTCGTATTCCACTTCTCTCAAAAGATCTGTTTCCGATCTACCCATAAACTGTGTCTGCACCAAATCCGTGTACACGTACAAGGGTCGATTTTGATACATTGGACTGTAATAGGCATTTCCCAGTTCGTAAAAGTACCAATTGACTGAACTTTCAAATTTCACAAATTTGGAAGTGCTACTACGTCCTTCTGCTTTAAATCCTGATTCTTTTGCATCAATGATCTCCCATAATTTAGTACCATCAAGCCAATCTAAAGTTTGGCTTATAGGATCTCTTAAATGTTCCACAGTTACATGACTAGTAAGTTCATAACCTTGATAATAAGAATCATATTTTCCATCTTGTCTAGGCATGATTAAATTAAAGGCTTTAGCTATTTCTAGATTGAGGTAGAAAGCATTTTCACGTCCAGATCTGTATGCTCCATCGATCCCACCATTGTCCATCTTCAACCTGTATGTACCACCCACGTTTTCCCATGAAAATTCTGGCCATCTGTAATGTTTTTTCTCTGAAAGCAAAGTTTTATCGTTGGTTATAATACCACTTGCTTTGGTGAGTAATTTGCTGTGCAGTCTGTAAATGAGTAAAGCAATCATTCTATTCCAAAAATCCACACCATCTTTGGAAGCTGATAGATCTTTCTCTTTTCTCCCCATTTCATACTTCATCTTACTGCCTTGGATCCAATACTCTTTTCTGGAAATGAGATCACCGTGGTGATCTTTTACACCATCCATGCTAAGATTTAATCCACACATGAAATCCAAGTCTACCAAGCTTCGGTAATCATTGCGAATACTTGAAGATAAGGCAGATGGGAATGAAATGCTCGACAAGGCCACTTTCCATTCTCTCCCCGGCAAAGAGATCGTCTTGAGAAGTTTGGCCTTGAATCTCCCTGGAGTGTTATCTCTGTAGATAGTGTCATATCCGTTATTAGGAAGTGTGAGATAAAACGTGTCCTGATTACCTTGCATGACTCATAAATCGACTATTTCCTTCGCGTCTGCCCAACTGTCGTATTTGGAAGGCCAACCTTTCCATTTGACCAAAGCTTTCCCGTCTTTCCTCTTTAATACTTTTTCGATCCGGAAAAACGTGTCTTTATCACCCATATCGACTTTTTGCAACTCTTCCTCGTAAAACGTACCTTTGACAGGTGTTTCATCGTATTCTTTGATCTTGTAAGATGGTACAAAGGTATTTAATACTCTATCTACGATGAATATTTCTTCTGTCCAGCCTGGTAAATACCCTTTCTTAAAGGTTCTACGAACCTTGCTCAACATGACTTTATCCCCCGCTTTTAAGGTAGACTTTCTACTTTTACGGGATGCACCGAACAATTTTTTACTGTACAATTTCTTCCACACTTTTCCATCGTTATACATGGTGACATTCTTAGGTGCTACACCTGTAGCATTGTGTACAGACGCGTTATAACCTTTGACTAAATCTGGTAAAAAATCCAGATACTTGAGAGTAGCATTGGCTGTTAAAGCTCGGTACAATCTCTGTTTGAGGGTTTTGTTAAATCTTTCTACCACAGAAGCTTTTATATCACTTTGAGTATTAAAACGATTGATCTTTTGCTGTTTGAGATATTCTTGAAGCGATTTGTTGTAAAATTCACCTCCTTTATCCGTTTGTAGACGTAACGGCTTTCTCCCTTCTTTCAAAATAGACTCAAAAGCGCGTTTTTGTTCTGCACCGGTTTTGTTCTTCATAGGAACCACCCAAGCGTATTTACTTAAAACATCTACAACCGTTAAGAGATATTTTACTCCTTTGTTGTATCTACTGAGATTTTTCATATCTGCTAAATCGGCTGCCCATTGATGATTTATACTATTAGCTACAGTTGGATTCCTTGTATAACGTATTCGTACCGGTTTATGCAAAGAGTAAATTAAATTCTTCCGCATGATACTCTTGAGTTTTTTGACAGGTACACCTGTGGCTTTGTGTAACCTTTCCAATCCACTATAACTACCTGGATTCGAAAAGTCATAATACGTCTTCAATACCATCCGTTCCAACTTATTTTCTTTATCCAACTTTCTTTTCTTTCTCTTTTTCATTCCCATGACTTTTTTTTTTTCCTCACAGTAAAATTTTTTTTAGTGCAACATCTCACCAACGCGATTAAAGCCGCCCTCATTAACTGTTTGAATGATGGTACTTTACCAGGATGAGTATTAAATACCCAGTTTTTATGTTCTTCGAAATCTCTTCCTTTTAACTGTTCTCTCATTCCCTCCATGTGTACAATGAATACACCAAAATACCATTCTCTCTCGGGGTTGGAGTCATTGATCAAATAATAATGGACATTACGGTTTTAAAAGCAACAAAAATTAAACTTTTCGAGTCGCCAACGTTACAATTTTGTAAAGCGATGCGAATTATAGTCATAAATCGAAAAACCAAACTATCGGACTTCAAGCGAGAGTTAGAGACATTATGAAGCTTCAAAAGCACGAAAAAATACCATGAATGAGTAATGAGATGTCCAAAAAGTATTGTTTCATAGAAGACATTGCGTTAAAACTTAGAACTTTTCAGTAATTTTGATTATAACGCTGCGCAATATTTCTAGGCGTGAAGTCAAGTAAACATCGAACTAAGCAAACAAATGAATTTTATTTCGATTAGGGTTTCACAGACGATAGAAATTCATTCGTTTTCTCGGTTCTAACAGAAAATCAAAAAAAAAATTGTTTTTTTGAATAAAAGCTTTTCTTCCGAAACGTCCCTTGCTCAGTTTTGTCTTTTTTTTTCCTCATTTATATTTTTTCATCGTGTCACATGAAATCTCTCCACGCGCTGAAAAAAAATTTGCATATTCACCTTGACATCTGATCCGCATGCTTTTTTGTACACGTGCACACGTGCGTGTACATGTGCAATTTTATCGGGTTTGCTGGAATACAATGATCAGAATTCATGGAAAAAGAGTTTTGATGGTTTTAGCTTTTGTGATGGCAATTTGTGTATCTTTCCAGCTAGGTCTTATATGGAGTACCCGTTACTCCTTTTTTGACGTTGTTCGTGAACAACTAGATGTCGAAAACCACGTGCAGCCCACACAATTACGAGAACCGAAAATGAATCACACGACAACCTCTACTTCGCAAACTCATTACAAATCATTTCTTATAACCAGGAGATCTTGTATGCAACATTACGATCTTCTTATCATTATCTCCTCCGCTCCAGGTAATTTCGAAAGAAGGAATAACATTCGTAAAACATGGGCATTTGAAAGATCCGCAAAACCAAGATGGACGTCAGTTTTTCTGGTAGCCCAGACATGGAATGAAACAGTTTCGAACGTGTTGCTTGACGAAGATGAAGCTCTTAAGGACCTCGTGCGAGCTAACTATTATGACCACTACTGGAATCAAACCCGAAAGATACAAATGGGCTTCGAATGGGCAGTAACGTATTGCAATTTCTCGTTTCTTTTGAAATTGGATGACGACGTGTTCGTGCACGTTCCAAGAGTTCTCTCCTTCTTAAGCGCACCCACCACGCCGAAAAAGAAGTTTTACGCTGGCAATCACTACACAAATCCTGTTCCTTTGAGGAAAGGCAAATAGAAGGTAACTTACGAGGAATATAGCAGGACGAGATATCCAGACTTTTGCCCCGGTTTTGGATACATTTTATCTCACGATGCTGTACGTGCATTTGTTGACACTTTCTCTTCCTTGCCGTTCTTCAGACTGGACGATGTTTACGTTGGCATGCTTGCGAGTAAGAATGGAATAAATATTACAAACAATGTGGGTTTTGAACTATGGCATCCGTCCCAATATGTATGTGTTCCAACAAAGAATACTTTAGTCAGGCATGATGTAGGGGAAGAGTGCCAAATGAAAATGTTTAACTTAGCCATTTTCCCTCAGTAGTTCGATGGCGTGGTTAGTACATACGTAAATTTAGATAAATTCTTCAGTGAGTAATTTTTTCCTGTGAAATATCCGTTGTTCATTTGAGTGCAGCCATTTAAAGCTATATTTGTTTTGAATGTTCGTTGCTCGAAGAGTTAGAATCAGGGCATTGGATGCTACAACATTCACCGACATTCAGCCTGAGTGTCAGAGCAAGTTGTGTATCTGTCAAAATAAGCAGTAGATATCAAGAAACGACTATCGCAGTTTATTATTTTCTGGGAAATTTTATTGAATTTTATTGCTTTCTCGTCCTGTAAAAATTGATTGCAACTTTAAATAGATTTATTTTTCCTTGAAAATACACAAAACGTGACTGTCCAGAAGCTTGTTGGATGATTTTGTAAAGTTTGAATCACTTTGTACTGAAATGCTTTAATGCCAATACAAAGTGTCATGTCTGCGAATGAGTAGCACTTTGAGGCTAAAAACTATCAAAATGTGATGTAAGATTTAGCTCTTACCGACCTGAGAGCAATCAAGACTTTATATTCTTTCATCCAGACACATACAGGGTGAGGAAGCAAGAGACACGGAACAATTTATTTCAGAAATGTAGTTGATAAAATGAACTCTTCCATCTGGTTTTCAAGCAATTTTAAAACATTGACTCATGCATGTAACCAAAGATTACTCAACGGAACTATTCCGTTTCAAGGAAAAATAGAAACTGTCACACTGCTACAGAGGTCAAATAATTTCTAGGCTTTCAATTTTACTTTTACCTATTGAAACAGAGTTCTCATCATTACTCTCAGAAATGCTGACTAAAAACCTGGTTTTGACGTAAAAAATATGTTGGTTAGAGTATTCATGTTGTTACACATTGTCAGTTTAAAATTCATAAACTCATATTAATTCAACTCAATTCAGTTGAGTTGATACTGTTATATTTACAGCTTGATATCGACTGCTCGCAGATAGTAACAGCTGGTCGAGGCGAGCAGCAGTTTCACGCATATTAATGAAAACTTTACAGTAACAAATTAAGGAAAAGAAATAAATATGCACTTGATAGTTATGCTCAGTAATGCTGATTTAAAACCTGGATATGATATAAAAAGATGTTGGTTAGAGTATTTCTGTGGTTACCTATTGTCTGCTTAGAATTTATAAACATATTTCCATTGTTTTATTCATTTTAGAAACATGTCCAAAGTCACTGCTTATGTCATTAAAACGTTGAATGGACTCATGCCTGCACTTCAAAACAGAGAACGTCTTAGGGTCTGGGCTTTTCCCGATTATGCTACTAAACTGGCATTTTATGCTCTTAGAAATTCCGCTTTACGCCAAAAAAATGCTCAAATTATGCTCGATTCTCAAAATAATACTACTTTGGTAGCAGAAAATACTTTGTTTAATTTCAAGCAAAACGTAGAAACTCAGTCATCATGTGTGTATCAGCAACTGAATAACGTGAAAAGTGTTCAATTGTTTGTTATAAAACTTCTGATACAGTCAAAACTTGTCCAAAGATAAACAGTTAATTAATGTTCGAAGTTCTTAGCGCTTGTTGTACTGTGATATGACGCTGGCTTCGAGGTAGTCAACATGAGCACAATTCTGTTGCTCGTTGAGGGACGCCTTCAGTATTGAAAATACTCTTTCTGACGTAGCAGACGATGGTTGGACAAGGAGAACTTGCTTCACTGCGGAAGCCCAACGAGGAAGTTGCTCCTCGTGCCCACACCATCAATCGACTTTCTTCTCTTCAGTTGGGATAACAACATCTTCAGCGGCAGCTAAGTAGGCAGGAAGCTCGGCTTTGAGACCGTCGATGGTAGTATCACTATCCAGGGAAGGAAATGCTCTCAGAGACTCTACTAATGCTTTGTGGGCTTAAGCCACTGGATCCTAACGGGGCAGAATAGTCTGACAGCCTTGAGTACTACCACTACATCCCGAAGATCGACATTGAACTTTCTCAGAAACCACGAAATTGCCGGCTCAACACAAGCCTTCGCACTCCGTTCAAGTGCTGTTACGTTCTTCTTCCGCAATTGCAGTTGCAATTGCACGGACGTTAGGGAAACAAGGAGCTTGACAAAAAACGGCGCTTAGTTTTTCATAACAAGCAAAAATTTCCCCTTACATTAAAACATTCATGAAATTAAAACAGCAAGCGTCAGGATGGCCAACAGAATGCGACACAGAAGAAAAGAAAAGGAACTATCTCCATGAATATCAAACACATCAAGACATCCAACTAGATCCCAACCAAAATGAAAAGAATTTGGCTTACATTCCCTGGCCAAACTCATGCTTAACTCTTTCTGGGGCAAATTTGGCCAACGCCCCAATCAGACACAAGTATCCAGCTGTACAAAACCAAGTGAATTTTTTCAGATCATCACAGATGATAGACAAGTGATTCACAGAATCGAGATAGTCAATGAACATATGGTCGAAGTTTTTCACAATTTCCAAGAAAAAACCATTCCCGTTCAAACAAATGTAAATATTTTCATCGCATGCTTCACCACCTCATATGCTCGGCTCAAGCTCTATGATGCTCTTGACACATTACAAGAAAGAGTATTATATTTTGACACTGATTCAGTTATTTACACAAAGAAACCCACTCAAGCAACCATTCCCACCGGGAATTATCTCGGACAGTTTATCAATGAACTCGACGAGGGAGACCATATTGTGGAGTTCGTGGCAGCAGGACCTAAAAACTATGCTTATAACACAAAACAAGGAAAGCAAACATGCAAAGTGAGAGGACTCACACTCAACGCACGCGGGCAAAGAATCTTACATTTTAATAGCATGAAAGAGTTAGTCCTAAATGAAATACTTGAACCAGAAGATGTACCACGCACCCTTTCCCTCCATACCCCCTATAAAATCACAAGATGCACAGCCACGAAAACTCTTCATTCAGTTGCACAAGACAAGAAATACAAACTGGTGTTTGATAAACGTGTCATTGATCATGACACATATCAATCATTTCCCTATGGATATAAATGTATATCCACTTCCCAAATGTAAATCATGAAAAACTGCATCATGGACCATATTTATCTGGATCTTTATTTTTGTAAGTTCTACAACAACGATATTGAAATCAAACACACGTACTTTCTACTTATCCCAACTCATAAAGACGATACCACATTCAGGATCATCTTTGATTCAAACGTCAATCCCTCTGCAGAAACCGTAAAACACTGGGCAAATCAACCGCAGTATCCTCATTGTGTCGTGGAAAAATTTCATATGGTACAAACTATCAGTAAACTACCAGAAAACAACCACAACCCATTTGAAAGAAACTGGACAAAGTGGTTACAATGACAAGGAGTCACAAGAAAAAAGTCAGCAAAAAAGTCAAAAAACTTATCAAAAAACTCAGAGATGAATACTTTCATATTACAAAAAAAAGTATGAAGATAAAATCACCAAACTTCATATACAACTCTTGGATAAAGAATACTACATCAATTCCATTCTTGAATTCCTCAAAGGCTATTATCATTCTCCCTGGGACAAAGCCGTTTATACCGGATTCAGAAACATGTGTTTGAAGATGATAAAAAACAGTTTTTTTTTTATCTTAATTCACATTCTTGACTTTTATGATTTTTTTTTTGGAAATTTTTTATTCCACTTGGGACATAAAACTGTACATAGAAGTAACCAAAAATTATGATATGGTAACGATTAAAAAAAAGTTTTTTATATCATTTTTTTGTCACGTTTTACTTATAAAAAACACAAAAAAAATATATATATATTCTCATTTTACCCGCGCAAAGCCAACTCCCGCGCTCACAACAACGGGGAAAAAAACTGTGATTGTATTTCATCGAGTCGAGTCGAGTCGTTGAAAAAATGAAAAAAACCTCAAATCAGACAAGACATTTGCCCAACCCTCAGCAAGAACAGAAAGCAACCACGTGCGAGAAAAAAACAATCTCATAAAAGGACTCATCTAAAACAATTTTCTTCAATCAAACAAAACTTCTTTTAATTCACATTAACATTTTTTTTTCTTTTTTTTTTTTACAATGAAATAAATAATACATGAAATAAAATCAGGGAAAAACACTCTTCCAAACAACGGCGATCACGGTCATCGACTTCATTCACTAAAAAAAAAAATTCGCACATTAAAAAAAAAAATTTTATTCACTAAAAAAACAAAATATTCCCACATTAAAAAAATTTTTTTTCCGGTTATGCCATCTTATCATAAAAAAAATAAATACAATTTTACCTTCTTATTTCGCTTCACTCGTAAACACCATTACACGGCGTTCGCTCAGCTTCAGGAATGATCATCACGTTCACAAATCTTTCGATTCTGATTGGTTACACGCTATACCGCCAACCATTACTACTAAATTGCACTCGAAATCATGTTGTTACCTATACTAAAAATGTACATGAAACATTTACGGGCTTCCGATTGGCTGAAAACGAGTGCATTTGTCATGTAACACGGGTGCAAAGGTGGAACATGAGTGCAAATTACAAATAGAGCGCACGCTGTCAAAATCTCGTTTGCCTTGTCTTTGAGAGATGCCTTTTTCCATGTATATTACTATGTAACAACATGATTTCTCGTGCAATTTCTTGTAATGGAAGAAAAGAAAAATCTTCTAGAATGTCAATCGTTCTTTGAAGCAAACTCTTCGAGTTTGGTCACAGCGCCAAAAGCTGACACATTTGACAATGAGGTTTTACGAGAAAAAATGCCACTCTGTAAAGTAGAAATATGAACAATTTGGCGAAATACCAATTTTGGTGGCATTTTTTAGTTTGCTTCTCGGGCTTGGAACTTTAGCAATCAGACCTCAAGGTTGTTGTTGAAATTATCTAAAAACGTTCGAATTTAGAAAACGTCTATTATCAGATTATAAGACTTATAATGGATGTAGAAACGAGTTTTGACCTAGAGAAAGACAAATGTTTAAAAATACTTCTAATGTTTTTTCAGCCTCAAGAGCTAAGGGAAAAAAAATTAAAGGAGTGAGAAATTAAACAGACTACCCGAACTTTACACGTATGAACATTTTTAAAAAAAATTAACTCTAGAGAAAATTTGAAAAGCACCATCTCTAGGACCATTCTATTTCAATATGGTTTTCTCCTCAAAAGCTAAGACATTTATTAATTAAATTGATAAAATTACTTATTTGTGTACAAAAATTTTAGAATTCCAGCTATTGATGAAAATTTTTTTGAGAATTTTCAAGTATCTAGTCCTTGAATTTAATCTTAGAATCGATTAATTAACAGAAACCGTGTTTTAAACTTCTGGTGAAATCCATCTCAATTGGATAGCCTCACAGAAGATTGTAAATAATCTCTTGATAGGTATCCAAATTATCCACTTCATCATCTGATGTATTCATTTCTCAAAACTACAGCAGAGTGCAGATAAAATGTGAAATAGTAGAAATTAGCCTCTACCTGGCCGAGAATAACAAATATTTCAAATGACAATAATCTCAAGCGTGAATGAGTGACGTTAACAAAAAAAGAAGCTTTGTTTTTTTGTAAAGCAGCAGCAAGCAGCTAGAAACACTGGGGGAAACACGAGACGTAGTCGAGTGCTTTCTTTGCTTTTTGGCGCTTGGCATGCTTACAAACCTCTCATTTGCCTTTCCTTTTGATTTTTGTCGGGTCGGTGTTTATTCGTCGTTAACTTGATCCGAAATAATCTCACTCTCTACCTGCGTGTAATAATATACCTGAAAAAATTACGCACGTCTGATTGGCTGAAAACAAGTCCATTTTTCATGTAATGCGAGTGCAAAGTTGTAACACGAATGCAATTTGTTGTCTTTGAAAAATTTATTTGTTCTTGCTAACACCAAATTGCACTCGAAATCATGTTGTTACTTATACTAAAAAATATACGCGAAAAATTTACGCGCTTCTGATTGGCTGAAATCAAGTGCATTTGCCATGTAACACGAGTCCAAAGCTGAAACATGAATACAAATTACAACTAGCGCGCACGCTGTCAAAATTTCGTTTGCCTTGCCTTTGAGATATGCCTTTCATGTATGTTATTACTAGGTAAGAACATGATTTCTCGTGCAGTTTCTTATAAAGGGGCACTTGAAAAATTTTGAAAGACTACAAATTGCACTCGTAATTTGCTACGGGTTTTTGTTGTTGTTGTTTTTTTTTTGAAATTGTGTCAGTACTACTTTGTGCTGTTACCTACAGGTTGTTCCGTGTCATTTGAGGCTAAGAGCTCGTTTCCATATTCGTTTTAAACGTCATGCAAGACGTGTGGGTCAAGTGCACCACTTTTCAATGAAAATTTGTGTGTTAAAAACACGAGCAAAACCTATCACGAAGACTTTTCACGAACACGTTATTGTGAACTTTCCTGAAAGCGCCCGTTTTTCTTAGTAAGGGCGCTCAAGAGACAGATTTCGTTCATTTCTTGTGTGTTGCAATAGATAGATAAGTACTTATATGAAAACCACAGTCCGCCGATCGGATCTCTTTATCTTCCCGACGTAACTTTGAAGGATAATTTAGAAAACAAAACAAAACAAAACAAAACAAAACAAAACAAAACAAAACAAAACAAAACAAAACAAAACAAAACAAAACAAAACAAAACAAAACAAACAAATCTGAGAAACTAAGCTCAAAAGAGATAGCACTGCTGTGTAGATCATGTCTATGTAAACCTATTGAGACGACCTTAACAAAACACCTAGTTTCAAACGACTGGGAAGACTGAAATAAACCCCTATCGGTTTGGTTCGGTGAGTAGATAGGTTGGGGGGAGGGGGTGAGGCGAAAATAGCGTTAGATGACAAAACTTGACACAAAAATCAAAGGTGCACATGATCATCTCTCACTCTATATCTTTTCCTAGAAGTATTTATCTCTCTTTTACTCATAAAAGTAACACGGCTCAAAGTCGCCAGTTGTTAATAGTGTGAGAGTCGTCTACCATATCTTTGCGACGTTGAGATACTAGCTCTGCAAATACAGCTATTATCAAATTTTACGGCGGACTGAGAAACGCGCGTCCTGCGACGCTAATCAAGAGAACCTGACCGCAAGCTCCCATCCTCTCTACGGGAAACGCGGTTGATCTTAAGGGTCGGGTTCAAGGCCTGGCCAGGGCATTGTATTGAGTTCTTGGGCAAAACTCTTAAATTATTACAGTGCGTCTTCACCCATGAGTAAAAATAGATACTGTCCCTCCTTACCCAGAAGTATGAATGGGTACTGTCCGTCTCCACCCAGGTGTATAAATGGATACTGTCCCTCTCCACCCAATAGTATAAATGGATACTGTCTCTCTCCACCCAAGAGTATAAATAGATACTGTCCCTCTCCACCCAAGGGTATGAATGGATACTGTCCCTCTCCACCCAGGAGTATAAATAGATACTGTTCCTCTCCACCCATGAGTACAAATAGATACTGCCAATTTTGGTGGCATTTTGAGTTTGGTCCTAGGGCTTGGAACTTCAGCACTCAGACCTCAAGAGTGTTGTTGAAATTATCTAAAAACGTTCGAATTTAGAAAACGACTATTATTATAATGGATATAGAAACGATTTAGAGAGAGACCAATGTTTGAAAAATACTTCTTGGGTTTTTTAACTTCAAGAGCTAAGACAGATGATTATCAGGCTGCATGGCAAAAAAGTCTTATTTTTACCCAAAAAGAAGAGAAAGAAAATGAACAAACTACCCGACCCATACACGTACGTACATTTTTAAGAAAATGAATTCCAGAGAAAATTTGAAAAGCAGCAACGTAGGACCGCTCTATTTCAATTTGGTTTTCTCCTCAAAAGCTAAGATATTTATTAATTCGGCTCCGAGCTCTTTTTCCTTCTTTACCGATTTCTGTTCAAAAATTATACAATTTCGGCTATTGATGAAAATTTGCTTTCAAATAAATTTTTGAGCATTTTTCCAGCATCTAGTCCTCGAAGTTAATCTTAGAATCGATTAATTAACAGAAGCCGTGTTTTAACTTTTAGTGAAATTAGATAGCC